CTTTTGGATACTTTATTTTCAATTTGGGAGATTTGTTTTTTCCAATTTAATGCACTGTCAAGATAAACTCCTAGGAACTTAGCAAATTCGGTATTGGGAATTTCGTGATTATCAATATAGATTTTGAAATTCGAAGGATCGAGAGTTTGTGATTTTTGGGGACTTCGAAACAGAATGAAGCTACACTTCTTGTGATTAATTGAATGTTTATTGGCAGCAAAGTAATGGGAAGTGGAAATTAAATTAGAGTTAACAATGTTGAATAAAGAATGAATATTTTTGTTAGAATATAGGATAGTGGTGTCATCAGCATAAAGAAAAAAAGAAAGAAGGTTGGAAGACAAGTGAACATCATTAATATATAAAAGGAACAGAAGAGGGCCCAATAGGGATCCCCGGGGGACACAAGTAATCTGGCGAAAGTTGGAGATAGTGTTGAGATATTTAGTGCATTGTGAACGGTTAGAGAGGTAACTTCGGAAAAGATTGAGAGCGGGACCACGAATACCATAGTGAGAAAGTTTATATAAAAGGATGTTATGGTCAATAATATCAAATGCTTTGGAAAGGTCAATAAAAATTCCTATTGTAAATTGACTATTTTCAAATGCATGACAATTTTATTGGTGAGGTCAGTAAAGGCAATGGATGTATTGTAGCCTTTTCTGAACCCAAATTGTCTGTCATAAAGTATATTAAATTTAGTAATAAATTTGAGTGTTTTATCATAGATTATTTTTTCAAGGGCTTTTGAGAAGACTGATAAGATTAAGATTGGGCGATAATTTGAAAGGTCAGATTTGGATCCAGATTAAAAAATCGGTGTAACACGGGCTAGCTTCATTCTGTTAGGAAAAACCCCCTTGGAAATCGAGAGGTTAAAAATGTGACATAGGGGTTGACGGATGAAGTTGGCAACATATTTGATGACTTTGGTATGGAAATTATCAATACCGGGTGATTTATTAACTTTAAATGAGTTTAATATACAGGCCACTTCAGATTCATTAACAGCGGTAAGAAAAATAGAATTAGGTGTAGGGTTGGGTAAGAATTCCTTAAAGGATTTGTTAACTTGGGGAATTTTGTTAGCTAAAGAGGGTCCGATTTCAACAATGTAGTCATTAAATGCAGATGCAATTGTTGTGGGATCGTTAGTTTGTTCACCATTACAATTGAAATAGGGATTTGTTTGGTTATTGGGGTTTGTTTTTTTTTATCAGCAGATTTATAGTATTCCAAGTAGACTTGATATCATTTTTGTGTTTGAGAAATAAATTTTTGTAGTAGGTAGCTTTGATAATTTTAATAAGTGAATTTAATTTATTGCGAAATTGTATTTGGTTTCATTTTTGGTAGATGGGCAATGAAGGAATTTTGCATAAAGTTTTTGCTTATATTTAATAGAGTTGAGAAGGCTGTTGGACATCCATGGTTTTAGCTTATGTGATTTTTTTTTTACATTTTTGAATGGGAAATGCTCTTCATAGAGATTTTCGAATATGTTTTCAAAATTATTATAGGCTTCATCGGGGTCTTGCACATCAAGGACTTCAGACCACTGTTGGTTACAAATATGTTGGCAAAAATTCTCTAAAGTTAAGGGATTAATATTTCTAAATCTAGGTATTACTTCCATATCCGAGCCAACTGCACCATTGGATGGGTGAGCAATATTCGATAGATAGGATATGTTAAAAACAGGGAGATGATCACTTATGTCACTGTATAATAAACCACTGAGGTTAGGGTAATCAAACATGTTGGTAATAATATTGCCAAGCAGGCTAAAAGAAGTATTTGTAATACGGAATGGTCTATGAATAAGGGGGAGATAATGATTACTAAAGAAGGAATTAACAAAATAATGGGCATCGTTGCTAGATTCATGATTAAGTATATCGATGTTAAAGTCCCCAAGAATATAAGCATATTTATTTTCACAAGACAGTTTGGCCATAACACTATCAAACTGATCAATAAATTTAGTAGAGTCAAGGGATGGAGC